AAATTTTTTTATCCGCATGCTAGTCGAGTGTGCCGACGGCTAGAGAAGCAACAACAAAGTTCGCAAAGCGACCCGATTATGCCGAGCAAAGGAAAATGTCGACGCGACAGTTATAATGAATGACAGCGAACGTAATTCAACGGTTTATCCATTAACCTCGTTTAATATTGGAACGCGTAATCATAAAACATATTACATGAGAAGTTCAGGGCAAAAATAAATCTGTAAGATCTGCTTTAAATCTAAAATTTATAAATACAATAGTTAAAATCGCACGCAAATTATACCTATGAACTGGCTTCATTCCTACACTCACTCAATAAAAACATTAAAAACTCAATAAAAACGTATAATTAATGTTCTATTGCATCTTGGATGGATTCATAATAAATCGACAGTGAGAGCATTCACTTGCAATATATATTAAGTTATTTTTTTTTGTTGGACGTTTACGCAACGAAATCTAGGCCAGTCTTCACGTTTCCGGTCGATTACGGATAAACTTTCGCGGGCATTTGTCAACGTTAACGTTGCGGAGACACCGCAATGTCGCAGCCGAAATCAGAAGACTCTCAAAAGAGTTACGACACGAAGATACTGACACTGATTTTTACGCGTGTGATCATTCAACGATGCGTGTGAGAAGAGCGTTAGTTAAACGGGAATACACAGACCGGAATGGATGACTTCGCGTGTCTGTCTGCCCGTCATAACTCTTGTCCTAGAATCTCAGGGTGATCTAAAACTAGTAACCATATCTTTTATTACTTTCCATTAAATATTTTGGAATCAACTTTATTCGTTTTATTTTTAAACCCACAGGATTTCATATCTTTCTCTTAACTTCTTTTTTCAGATCAAAATTTCGTTCTTAGTAGCACTAATATGTGTCCATTTTTCGCTAATATTCGTGATTGTAATGCACTTGTCCCGAATCTATCCTTTTTACGAGCCAACGTCATATTTCAAATGTGTCATGGAAACATGATGGCATAAAGAAGTGATAAAGTAAATATTGAACGGATCGGAGCCAAAACTAGTAACTATAATTTATCGACATTTGTGATTTCTCGCGATCAAATCAAATTACTTGCGATGATAAACAAAAGAAAAAAAGAGAGAAAATGAAAGAAAAGAAACTAAAAAATTATTATATTAATCTAATATGTAAAATGTATTCTATATACATATACAATTTTTTACTTATTTGTATCTTCTTACAAAACTTTAACCCACATTAACTCTGTTCCAAATATCGTCAATTTTAGAAGTGATCCACTTTAGCTCCATTAGCGATATCGCAAAATTGCAATAAATTTAGAATACGTCAGCGACGAGTTCGAAATACTTGTAAGACGAAGTGAGCTAATTGATATCGTTATAGATAAATATATAACAACACTTGGACTTTTTAATGACAAGAAATTTCTAATGATTACGAAATCATAAAATGAATATTGTAACAGTTATCAACAAATTATTAGAAAAGACAATTATTAATCTTATCATTAAAAACCATTATATTGTCCTAATTTGCATTGCCTAAGAGTCTAAATTGTATCATTTAACTCTGCTGCAGTGATTCTGATGTAATATTGACATCGTTAAAATAAACCCTCCTAAACCCAAATGTAATATGAGAGTAAAGTGGAGTTTGTAGGAAACATGAGAGGGATAAGTAAGTTTTCCGTCGTTCTCTCTCCCGTCCCTTTTTCTCCCTAGAACATATACCTTACGAAGTTCAGCGTGAAACCGTTCGCGTCGAGGATTCGTCAGAGGATTTATCGAACATCCGATGGACGTGTGGATAGAGATGGATAAAGATTGCAGGCCGTGCCTGCATCGACCTACAACTGGACAGTATGAGGATGTTTGAGATACGAGGAAGTCTCGCGTCTCTAGCTTTTAAAAGTCCGCTACTGTTATTGTTGGTCCAGTGCCAACGTAAGTAATGGCTAGTACGGACGTAAATATATCCTTGCACACTTTTTCTTATTTGCCTTTGAAGTGTAGAGATCGGTTTGTGAACCGTCTGCATGCCTGATTAAAAGAATTATGATTCGATAGTGTAGTATGTCTATTCACATGGGTGGGTCGCACAAATACAATTTGTCTGTGCAATCATTTACATCAAAGAGTTGTCTAAATCACTTTCTCGTAAGCAAAACAAAACATTGATTAAACACGATATTTCTTAATTGCCGTTCACTCGCATTGATGAATAAGATATAATTTAGCCAAATTATATCTCATTCATCAATGCGAGTTCTTGTATGAAGAAATTAGATACATATAGAGAAAATGATATACACGCATAATATAATAATATTATATAGCATATTGCTCTTTAATAAAAAAATAAGATATTAAAGTTCGGAGATGAGATTTATTTAATCAAAATATAAAACACTAATAATAATATAAAAGCACTAATATAAACTTCTTATTTAAAATCATTAAAAAAAATTAAGTGTTTACGACATCTTCAGTCATATTCCGATATCCATAATAATCTCAAATTATCATTATATATTCAATCATTGATTATAAGATAATGTTATCTTTTTGGGGCACTTTCATAGTTAAAATTATTTAAGTCCTTAGAGATTACTTGTGTTGTGGAATTACCTGACAAGTTGCTAAATAACATGCATTCATTGTAATAAAATGATTAATATAATATTACAATGTGTAGTGTTACATTAAATATAATTTATTATAATTTTTTAAACGATATAAAAATAAACTTATCTTTTAGAGGTCATAAGGCTTATTTTATTTTTATTTTTTTTATAGATTATCTTACTATTTTTCCTCTCAAATATTAGAATTATTACAAAAATATGTGCATACAAATGTGTAAATGTATGGATGTGTAAAAGTACGTGAGTATCAATATGGAAGTTATAAACTTGAGCTTTCCAAGTTCGCTGAACCCAAATATGCAGATCAATCATCCCTGCAGGAAAATAATTTATCGTTATTGTTATTAGATAGTGGTGCCATCTCGTGCTGCTTAGGATTAATATTTACACATAGTCGTACAATGTAGTCTACTTGATTTCTACCGCCATCTGTGTTATCAATATTATCATGCGGAAAAACCCAAGATAATGTTTATCATTTTTTAAAACAAATCAAGGTAACAAACTGATACTATTTGTCATCATTTTGAAAAAAAAAATACTGCTCCCATAATCTTTCAAATTTCATATATTAATAAATTTAAATAATCTTACAATCTCTAAATAAAATCTCTTTGACAATAACATTGCTGCTAATTAATAACTAATAAATAATAATTAATAGTTAGTAACTAATAGTTTTAATGTATGTTATAGTTATTAGAATTTCATTAAAATTGTATTAGTTGCAGAAAAAAACAAGAACTTGACATACTATATTATATCTAATAAAAATATAAGTAATAGATTGTGAAATAGATGTTGATATCAATAAGTATAATATTAAACTAACCCGATGTTTTTAATATATATAACGATTAACACAATCATATAGCGATTACACAAAAAAGGAAATACAAAGAGAAGATGAGTAATGTAATGATTAAATATATCTTTGCAATCAATTTATTATATTAACAAGTTTATGTAAATTAAAAGAGATTCTCAAATTAAACTAATAAAAAAATATTGTTATATATTTTCAAGTAATTAACACAATTAATAAAATAAATTTTTATGAGAAAAACAAATAAAAAGCTAAACAATAAATTTTTTTAATTAATTTTTATTTGTTTATTTATTTTTTCTTTTACTGAAAGATTCATCGTAATTTATCTAACAATTTATAAATTTATTAACAAGTATCCATTCCTCAAAAATAAATTAGATTTTTATAATCTGACCTGGTTTTTTCTTATCTATTAACATTCAAAAATTTATTTATTTATTACTACAACTTTATTTATCAAGCAGTATAATTACTGATATAAAAAATAAAAATAGAAAGAAATGTAAAGGAAAAATCGCTAAAAAGATAAACGTTTTTGTCTGGTATTCTAAAGAAAAGCAAATAAGTTAATTAAAAGAAAGGAATTTTTTAGAAACACAACATTTTGTTAGCGCAAAGTTTATCGACAATTTCATAAATGTAATAATTTAATAAAAAAAATTTGTCATAATTGTTTAATTTATAATACTAAACATATAAAAAAGTGCACAAGAAGAAGAAGCACAAAAAAATGTTCATTCATATTAAAATACGGAAAAAATAAAGACAACAAAGTATAATTTTGAAAAACAATAGGTAATTTATCAAATTTCCTTTTTTAACTAATTTTATTATTTCTTATAAAGTTGCTACTAAGAATTTATAAGATTTATAATGTTTTGTGGTTTCCCGGGGCGACTTAAAATGTTACATATTGAGAGCTTCTACTATACAAGGACACGTTCAAAACCTTACAATTTCACATAATGCATATCGCATCAGTTACCTTGTAAAGCTTCCGGATTTCAATATCAAGATCTGCAATTGAAGCGAATAGTTCAGTAAGATTTGTCACAAGAGACGTTACATCGTGATAAGTTTCAAACAGAATTACATATTGTGGATTAGTTTATTTCTCACACATGAACTTCAACCTTTTTTCCTTCGCATTTCCACACACATGTGTAAAATAATCGTATTTATAATTACAAACCTACGAGGAAGTAATCATATCACGGATATTCATTTAAAAGTAAAAGAATGATTACGCTCTAAACCGCGATTGTTTATTAACTTTTTTTATTATAGTGGCTGTGATTAACTTGATGAAAAAAATTGGTAATCACTTTTACAGCGCCGGCGCCGGTGAGTCGTGTGATAGAAAATTGTATTTATTCATTTAATATTATCATTATTGGTATATCGATCTATATATTTTACTGTAATAAAAAAAATGTACAGGGTAGAGAACGCGCGTTCACGTCTTACAATTTGGAATATCTCAGAACAATTGATTCTATCTGTATTGATCTGTTTACTTGAGACACATGGGAGTTTCACGAACTTGGTACATAATCCTCGTGGTGATCGCCGCGTGCACCTGCGGTGCACGTACAGAATGTGGCGAAACAGCTCAAATTTCATTTCTAACAAGCGTGCACGATGATCCATCGTGTACAATGCTATCACCGAAGGGCGTTACGCTTTATGAGGCCGCCAAGCTTCTCGCAGAGATTCACAACAACAAAACCGACGGATTCGAAATCGGTAAATCAAGTACATGAATTAAAATAATTCATATCAATTAAACACATTGTAATATTGAATATCAAATCATTTCCCGAATATACGCAATTAAACGGACAATAATTTCAATATAAAGTAAAATGCAGCATAGTTAAAAAAAAAATTCAACTATGAAACAAAATATTTGTATAGAAATTATCATTGTGGATACATGCGGAAGTATAACAGGTGCTCTGAAAGCGATGATGAAGGCTTTAGTATGGGCAGATGTCAACTGTTTGCATCCACCTTATTATCTAGGTAGGAACAATGACTGTCTCACGCGCTTTATGCGAATATTCGATTACTAATTTTCGAAGACCATTACATCGGTTGATAAAAGTTCTTTTATAAACTAGAGTACATAGCCAATAAAAATATTATATCTTTACAAATATAAAGTTTATATTTCCTAGGTACTTACGTAATCGTTCGATTTATGTATCTCGTAATTATATAGGAATTATCGGACCAGATACCACGACCAACATCGAGGCCATATATAAAGTGACGTCGATATTGAAAGTGCCGCATATTATCAAGAAACCGTCAATTTCTCCCTATTTGCACCCTTTAACAGAGGAATCGAACTCCTATTTAGTGGAGGTATTTGTTATTAATTAATTACTAAATAAACTCAATATTCTCGAGTTTATTAAGAGCCTTGAAGTTTTATTCTATAAACAATTTAAACTGAAGATGGGGATAGTTCAATTAAGGTATAATAATTAACTGTAATGCTGAGCTCATTGTAATATTTGCATAATGCATGCAGTTTATTATCCTTACGCAATCATTTGTATTAGAACAATACTGAAATGCGTCTGACAGTACATACAAATGTACTAATTATTGTGCTATTGAGTTTACAATACACATACTGCTCCTTCATCCAATTTTATTTTATTATATGTTTCAAATTTTAATAGCAAAAATTGATTTTATATCAAAAATTCAAGTTCATTCAAAGTTTTTATATCACATTCTTTATCACATTCTCTATCATAAGTTGTATTATTACATATAAAAAATTATATAGCGTATATATAGAATCGTGATATATACAATAGTTAAATTGTGTTAGCTCGATTGCATATTAAATAGGATATGTAAATTACAGAAAAACAATGACTCGGCATTTAAAATATTTAGTGCTTTCATTACCAATGCAGAATGCAAGCATATGTTCCTATTTTAGATGCATACGCAAGTGACTCGATCACTACATATTTATTTTATATTGTTTGAACTTTATATTGTTTGAATTTTATATTGTTTACACTTTTACATCCGTTGTTTTCTTTGTTAATAACATTTTTATATAAATGTTACTACATTATGCTTACCATAATGGTAAATAGAGATAAATTTGAAATTTATCTAATTTTTTCCCCTCACACGCTACTTTATATTAATCAACGATTTGATTGAGATATGTTATATTATTATCTTTTTTAGGGAATCTTGAAAATGATAGAAATTTTTAAGTGGAAATCCTTCACATTAGTAACTAAAGTTGATGATGAAAACGACGATGACGTACAAAGTATTACAAAGAAACTGACAGTAAATGCCATAGCGAACAATTTGTGTGTTATAATCCATGATAACGATAAAGAAGGTATGAAACTATGTTTTTATTTTCTTTACATAAAATATCTCTCTTCTAGCACAATATTTTTTAATAATGTGAAGTATATATCACAAAAAAGTTTTTATAATAAAATGTCAAATTTATAATAAATTTTAGATTTTTAAAAATGTCGCGTGATTAAAGTATTAATGATATGTATAATGGTATAGAATATTAATAATGCAATTTTTTTATGAATATCTTTGATAATTTCGTACATAATAATTATTACTAAACTTTAACAAGTATTCAAAGATAATATATGATAAATTACAATAGATCTCTTTTAAATATAATACTATGTCAACGCCTGAACCGTAGAAGGTGTATATCGAGAAAAAACATGAAGAAAGGTTTATGTCAAGAAATGAATGAAAAGCGGTCTATTTCGCATAAGAGGTAAGGCGTGAAGATTGGCCTATATCGGAACGCATACGAAATACGGTTTATATTGTGAAAATGAGAAGAACGGTTCAAGCTAGTTCAAGTTGCATGAAATTAAAGAAGATGTTATATAGCGCAATATATTTTCTCATAAATTTTATAGTGGCATGACTGAGAACAGGAATTGTCTTGATTTTCAATCCTGTTTCTCGCACTCATTTACTCATATATTAATTTTCTGTAACTAAATTTGTGTAATTTATGAGTAGTGAGTATTGCGCTATGTAGACCCTTTTAATTTTATGCGACTTGAACCGTTCTTCTTGTTTTCTCGATATAAACTGTACTTTGTATGCGTTCCGACACAAGCCGGTCTTCACGTTTCACGCGAAATAGACCGCTTTTTATTCATTTCTTGACAGAAACCTTTCTTCATATTTTTTCGATGTGGCACTTTCTACGGCTCAGACGTCGATGTAGTCTACATAGATTTTTTTTAATCATATACTAATGTAAAAAAATTTCTAGTGTTAAATATATTTTAGCAAGCAAAACTTTAAATCAAAATATTATTGTAGTAAAATCCATTTAAAATTATTTGAAAAATAAATTTTTGTTTATATTCCAATTTATCTTTGATTTAATACGTTTCTTTTAATTTCTTTTAGCTAAAAAATTAAAAATAATTTAAATATGATTTTTAAATTAATATATGTTTTGTTAATTTTGTTGGTGTAGATTATACGTCACATATTGTACATATTGGAAAACCCGAAGATAATTTTTTTAATGAACTTAAAAATGCAACCATACTAATAATCAGCGAGGGAAATTTAAAAGATTACTTGAATCATATAGATTCAACTAACACTATATTGCTTTTAGAAGATTCTAGGTAAGGACAAATTGTTTTTATAAAATTTATTTGCAAATTTCGTGTGCTTCACATACTTAATTTAAAAAAAAAAAGAATATATCTTTATCGATAGAAACTTTTCGTTATAATAATTTTCTCGTTAAAATAATTTTTAATCAAATTTTATCAAATTTATTAGTTTATTTTATATGTTTTAACATTTTAAACAGTTATTGTACAATTAAAAAGATCATCAAATGCGTTAATAAACATAAATTTTTTCATGAGTAAAAGAAGAATAATGTTTTCAACTTACTTAAACCCTAAATTAAATTGTACAGTATTAAATTGTATAATATCATATAATTTCATATTTATTTATATCTTTAACATATCTTTGATAACCTTATTATAAACTGCTCAAAATGTGTATATAAATTATATACAGGCGATATATTTCTCAGTTATCGTATTTTTTAATTATTATTAATTACAAATCATTTGATAAAATTACGTGTACTATGCTAATTAGTGTTGCATTAGAGCGAGGTGAAACGAGAAAATATCAATATCGAGATTTATTCTAGATAAAAATAAATGACTAATAAAGTTTTCTCGTTTTGATGGCCGATATTCTTGTTTCTCAAGATTCTAGAATTTTATTTCGAGACGTTCGAGATTATGGACTTCTCGTTTTATTTATTTGAAATGTTCGATTATACAATGAGACAGCACATTCGTTGTAACTGGTATTCGTTGTAACTGGCATGGATTTCTCGAGACGAGACGAGAAAAAACAAATGACGTATAATAATCGGAAATATTATTTTAAATGAGGCAAAAAGTTCTCAGACGATATTCCAAGATTTTCGTATCAAAATGCGTCATTAATGCTAATGAATTACTGATCATACGCATACACATAAAAATAAAATAATCGAATATAAAAGGTTATCTGTTGTAGATTACAACGGATTTTAATGTAACTAAAGTGGCTCATTACATTTAATTAATGAAATTGAACTTTTGCGTTATTGACATTGTTGCGTTGGCATTGTAATGTTTCACTGTTATTAGAAATGTTGGGAAATTTTCTCATAGAAAATGCATATATATTCCTCATTATTATTACTGGTTTTACTTTAATCATTAGTAATATCTAACTACATTTACGTGATAAAATAATTTTACATCAATCGTGTGTCGTGCCAATTACGCGACTAAACTGCCATGTATAAAAAATACACGCCTGAAATCACGATTTCTACTTCCGTCGAATGTATCAGATTCGATCGAGGTTAAGGATCCTTGATAAATCACGGTGAATTGCTAGTACCCTTGCTTTTTTCCCAGCACTTTAACGTTTCACTCTCCCGAACAGCAGCCGCGCCGAGGCCATCCTTAAATCAATGTAGAAAAATCTCGTTGCTCTCTGTAAATCGTATATGTTTTATTTTACAGAGAATATTGTAAATATATATATGAAAGTACAGATCTGGCAAATTTTTTAACTTAAGCTTATTTTCATTCAAATATAAAATTCATTCGTATTAGTTAGAGGAAAGTCGCCGATACTGACATAGGTCTCCTAAAGTGACACTCCCTTATTTCTCAGAAACTAACTATTGCACTTTATTAATACTAATAAAATCATGATCTGTTTAACTAATTAAAAAAGTACAAACTCATAATTCGTATATTTGTGGCTTATTTCTATACCATATCAGCTAAAAACCAATTCTATGAATCCGAGAAGAAAATTCTTACGATGTTCTTTTGTAAATTGCATAATTAAAATAATAGTAACTGTATTATTGATAATATTATATCATTTTAAATGTTTATAGTTTCATAAATTAGTTTTCTTTTACTAGTTTTCTTCTATTAGTTTTCATCTACTTGCAACAATGTTTTTACTGTTAAAAGTACCTTTGAAATTTTTCATAAAAATATAAGAATGTCGGTTAAAATATTTTTCTATTCAACAGGCATTTATATTGTTTTGAAGCAATAGCATGAGCTTTTGTTTCTTTATTGTAAATTTTTCAATATTTTCCTTTATCATTTATTTCTGAATGTGAAACGTGAAAAAATTAAAATTATGAAGGAAGCTCGTATTTTTGAAGTTCCTAAATTGGAAAAAGAAAAAAATATTTACGAATTTATTCGTAGATCACATATGTATTCGTACAGTGTACACTTGTGTATTACACATAAAAAAAGCATGCAAAAAACATTTGCATCGGTATATGATATGATAGCTCAGTTTTTCTATATTGTTTTTGTTTTCTTTGTAATAAATTAATGCATTTATATATATATATATACTATTGCATTCACGATTTATTTTTTTATATAACATGACATTTAATGTTACTTGAACATTAAGAAATAGAAAAAATAAAACAAGTTATCTTGGCTGTGTTACAAAATTGATTGCCAGCTCTGCAAGTACGTCGTCATAAAAACGTATGCTATCAACAGCGTTCCAATTTTAGTAAGCATGCAATTGATGCGAATACGCATTTCAAATTGAAATGATACTCGCCATCTTGGATGCTATAGCTGCCTCATCTCTTCAGCCGCAGCAGAAAATGACGACAAAATTAGTGACATCTTTACTCTCTCGCAGCACTACCACAGCGTGCTACGATGATTTTTGGAACAGTGTTAACAGTACTGCCAGCGCTGGCAAACAATTTTGGAACACAGCCCTTGTAGATCTATTCTATAACATAATAGTACCAATTATTATAACAAGCGGCTTGGACTCAATGTTTAAACATTGCCTTAAATTAAAACCAGTTATAAAAATATAACGATATATGAAATCGATTATATAATTCATGTTTGGTACGATACGACTAGAAACGAGTATATATGTAATGTGTGTATGTACTATAGATGATTTCTTACTTCCCTTTTAAGTCTACTTTAGACAATCTATTTTACATTGAATTTTTCTCCGTTCTTTTCTTTTCCGAAGAAAAATTCGACCTGAATTATATATCTAACATTAACATGTATATATTTAAAGCCGCTTCAAGTGAACAATTTAGATATACAATTCAGGTCGAATTTTTCTTCGAAAAAGAAAAGAACGGAGAAAAATTCAATGTAAAATAGATTGTCTAAAGTAGACTTAAGAGGGAAGTAAGAAATCATCTATAGTAGTTTGGAAAAATTAAATTTATCTCAACAATATTTCTGTCTTACAAAGTAACATTTTTAATCTTTAAATATAACAGGAATATTCCATTAAGTTCTTTTTTTATAGGAATGTAATGAACGGTCTTGAGTGGAGAGTTGAGAATTCGCAATGGTGGGCACCCGATAATGGTTTGGGAAGATATGATGCCAAGGAATTGAAACGAGTCAGATGGTTAGAAAATGCTATAAAAATTTACGTGAAAGCTTTAAATGCATTATGGTGAGCATTGAAAAATTTCTATTATTTAGTGGTGATTATATCATAAACAATAACATTTAATTTAATAGCTTTTGTAAGTCAAGAATAATTAAGAAAGCTATCAATTTGATAGATTTATAGCTGACTATATGCATGCTTAAATAATCACAGTTAACTCTGCGGAGTTAGACAAAGATTTATGAAACGTTGTACACGATAATGGAATATCATGCACATACATATATATAATATTGATAATCTATTGTGTATATATGTATGTATATAATGTTGAAGATTCATTGTGTGCCTAAGGGAAGGTTTTATTGGTGTCAATTAAATTTATAAATAGAAAAAAGTTGATTTAATCTATAAAATCAATTAGTCAACTAACGAGTAGTTAATGATTAATTAATAATTACAAATATTATTAAATGGCGAGTCAACGATAGTTACCATTAATTGACTATTCATTAGTTGATCAATTGATTTTGTTGTGTAAATTTTAAACTAACTTTTTTCCTTTTATATTTAAAAAGAAAAAACCCGAATTAAAAAAATTATATTTAAACATTAATAAAATTAATCGACATCAGTAAGACTTTTTCTTAGGCACTCAATAGATCTTTAACATTATGTCATAAATGCAATTTAATACTGTTACAATTTTTTTCATAAGATTGAATCCATCGATTACATTTTACAGCAAAAACAAAAAATGCAACAATCAAATAAATGCTTTAGAATGGAATCACATGGTGTCAAATATGTTAATGACACATAACAAGGAATCAGAAGCAGCACCAAAGTTTCTTAATCTGTTTATGAAAAAGAAAACAAGTAATTTAGAACGTTTGGGTGATATAGTTGTTCACCGGAATAAAACAAAAGTTTATTGGGATAAGAATAAAATGAATGAAAAAGAAGTGAACGTTACGGAGAAAACTGAGAAAAATTACGGAGCGCCAAGAAGCAACAACAATATGTCGTATATATTTAAAGAACTTTTAAAAGAAGAAAATGAACCGCAATCAAGATGTGCTACAGCTGTCAAAGAGATTAAAATAAAGGAAAAGAATAATAAGGCGACACAAGTTTTAGTTTCGGGAATGAGCGATAACGAGTGGTGGACAATGGTAGCATTTTTTAGCATTATTTTATGTAAATAATCTCTGAGATTCCTTAATTTAAAAAAGCCGTTTTTAAAACTTCATATATATCAAAATTATAAATTACGCAATAAATTAAAATTATTGTTTTTGTAATAGATTATGTATTAAAAAAAAATTCCGAAATTGTCAAAAAATTTCCTCTTTTGTAGATAATAATTTCTCAAAAATTATACTTTTCAAAATATCTTAGAAATTAATATTCATCTTCGCACATTATATAAAAAGAATTATTCCTATTAAAAAATAAGACTTTTTTTTAGAACTTCAAGCTTTCTTTTATGAAAAGTTAAAAGTTCAGAAACATAAATATAACTAATTTCCACGTTATAGGTATGTACGGTAAGCGGCGTAGGAATCGCGATGTTTCTGGTGGGAATTCTCGCTGTTTATGTTATCTATACGAACGTGCAGAGGCCAAAGTGTGCCAAGAATAAAAATCACTTGGATAGAGAAACCAGCTTAAGGAGAATGAGCAATGATAGAGAATTACCGACAACCATAACCATCCGTAACCAACGAGTGGTGCATAGTCCACATAGAAGAGGCAGCGACAGGAGCACTATATCTGAAAAAAGCGTTTAACGCGAATGCGAGTCGCATTAATAATAAATAAAGCGAGCATTTCCAGCGGAACAGAAAAAAAATTTACTTTAAAAGCGTACACAAAATTCATTATCTTATTTTATTGTGAGCATGTTTTCTAGTGACATTCATGACCTGTATTGCTAATCTAATTGAATCATAATAAAATATTCTTTATAATATATATAAATTTTAGATAGATATTTTCTTTTGTTGTAATTTATTTATGTGTATGCAATACGAGTTCCTCGTAATTGTTCTATGTAACAATAAATATTATTCTGCAGTATTTTCGGAAGCGTATCTACATTCTATTTCGATAATGTATCAACGAACTATAAACAAACTAAACGAACCATCCATCAATGCATGCTAGCATTACTTTTTATAAGGCTTTATTTTTTTTAATTTATAGATCTTTAAAAATCATGAAAAACGGCATTTTCAGTATGTTTATTGAAGGATGATTGATTTAACGATTTGAGCAAAGCCCTTCCGAGTAACATATCAGTTAGTATTCGATAGAAAGAAGAACGATCTTCAAGGTAGATAGCAAACTTAGCGTACTTGCTTCTACGTTCGGTTCTGTGAGATCAATTCGCAAAGCAATGTTAAACGATCTATCAAACATCAGCCAGTTCCATTACAGAAAGAAACAAATTCTTTCAAACTTCTCGATATCAATGACTTCGACTGCGAATCAACGATAGTTACCACTGTTATGATATCTTTGTATAGAATTATTATGGAATTACAAATATTTCTTTTTACAATCATTTATGTGATTAATGTTTATTACCATTTTTTAAATGCAACAGAATTTCGAGAAATTTATTAAAATATTAAATTGAAATTTAACAAGTTGTTATATTTTTATAATATTTAAATAATTTAATTGTTAATATTCCACTAATATCGGGATATTCCTTCGATTTATCTCGAATTATTTAAATACTCGCACATTTTTAGTGTTAAATTCAAGTATTTACGATAAGATACTCAAAATAAAAAAATATAAGTAAGTTCTTCTCAGAAATTTATTCAAATTGATAAAAATTAAAATCTGTTAAATAACATCTTACAATACGAGCATGTATTTTATTAAAAAATAATATAAATTATTACACACACACACACAAACACACATAATTAATACTAATGTTCCTAGATTGGCGAGATGTCCAGTACCTAGAAATGATTTCTTAAAAGGAACCAAAAGTTAAACAATTTACATATTCGCTACTACACTTTCTTCAACATTAATCAACATAAACGCATTTTATTATCATTAACATAGTACTAATACAACTACTAATACCAATGGAAGAACATAATAAAATAAAAAAAGAAGAAAATGTTTCTAAAATATATTATTTAATTAATATCATTATTCGACTTTAAAATATTCATAGTGGTTGTTGCTAACCATTGTTTCCGAGAACATGTCAGGAAAACCTGAATGTGTTATAATTTCTATAACAGAAATTCCCAACTTTCAACAGAGCATTAAAATAAAAAAATTTTGCATATAAATTTCAGGTATTATTAATGAATAATTCTCCACGTTGAACATCGTTTCAACTCTCCATCGGTACGAACTACGTATTTGTTAGTTTCTACTTGACGGGACAACGATAACATTCCTTCGCCGAGAGTAATTGCATGAGGAAAAACGAGGAAAAAATGCGATTTCTCTCTTCGCAAAATTTCTTTTAATAAATATTCAATACAGAATGAACCTTTGAAATATCCGTTAATAAATATTTAGCATGTTGCAGAATTTAAGATAATTTAAAATAACTAAAGATGTAAAAAAACAGTATTTTTTACTTCGGAGAAAAGTAAAAAACTAGGTTTTTTACTGTAAAAAACATAGAATTCATGTTAAATATGTAGAAGAAGAAATAAAATTTATTTTTCTTGTTATTTCGCGATACCTTTTAATACTTTTGTCTTTATGATTGTATATTAAAGCGGAAATAAGTATTATTGGCTGTTGCAATTCTTGATGAGTTGATAATAAGTTAATAGGTCTGTTTGCGTTGCTTGCACTCTTTGCATTCAGCATCTCTGTGCTTTCGTCTTTTTTATCGTCCGAATCTATTTTTCTAATCATATATATATAAGTGCAAAAATTAAATTAAATTAAATTATCTTTAAAATTAAATTATCTTTAAGTGCAAAAGTTTGGGGGATTTCAAGCAATGTGACAGACCTAAACGATTTAAAAAAAATATCCGAGTAAAAAACTGTCGAAACCGAAAGAAAAAAACCATTAATTTCCGAGTTTTGTACCCTAAAATTTTAGCATTTTTCCGTCATTCACATCTCTAAAAATAATATTTTACAGAAAATGAGAAATAAAACTGTAAATCAATTTTATAGAGCTCTCAATATTAAAAAATAATATTACAATAAACGGACAAATAAGTAGCTCTCATTTATTATCATTTATATTTGAGATAAAACTATTTTAAAGATTCTCAATTCTACAACCAATAATAAAATTCAAATTTTATAATAATTTTATCAATAATAGGTACACGTTATTAGCGGTATGGCTCGATCAATTTTATCAATTAAAATATTATATGTCTGATTTTGTAGTATCTCTAAATCGCGATTAAAAAATTAATAATTTACTATTAGCTCAACGCAATTTTTATTCTCTTATTTAATAATTTTTTATATTAGCTACAAAATTGAAGTGCAGTTTGCTTGAACTGGAAATTGTAAAAATTCGCACAAAAATATTATTAGACATCAAGACCTGTCTTGGCTAAATATGGTTCTTTTTACTCATTTATGTTGAATATTTTGCAGTTCACTTTCACTTAATATTCATATATTATACGCAAGTAAAAAATAATATTCATTGCAAGGTTAATCCGCCAACGCCTAATGTCTTTCCTAAATCTTCTTCTCCTCTCAAGCTATGCGTGCGCGAGGGGATTGTTAATTCCAATAAATCTTTCAGATTCAACACTCGCGAACATTCAGAAAACTACGATCGCGCGATACTTTATGTCACTTCCGAAATTCACACGCGAATTAATGCACAATTTTATTCGCGAAAAAATTTCAAGCGATAACCACATTATGCCAATGTATTTAGCTTCGGCCGTATAACCTAATTTAACCGACTAATTTAACCCCTAATCCCGAGTGACTAATATATACGTAGTATCCAACACACAGAAAGATCCTCTGTGGAAAAGATGAAAGGTAAATTCATAATGAAGATCATTTCCATATCCATATCTCAATCTCTCAATTCCGATTCCATTCTCCATATCTCGATCAGTACGACTGGTGATCAACTAATCCACTCAGAGCGAGATCAATGATTAAATCCGATCACGATTATCGCCTATGGCAGCGATTCAACTTGAGACAACTATCACGCCTGAGAATATGGAAACAAGCGGTGGTATGCTAATTTATATTCGCGCGACATTTTGCACGGCACTCCCAAAGTTAACGTATAATAAACTGGCTGCGTTTCATTCGTTTAGTTAAATAGGTGGCGATGTGAACATTAACTTCTCCGTCCTTGGATTAATGAGTTCTTTAGGTAGGACACTGAGCTCCTTCAAATTCGTGCCTGCAAATGAATAGATAGAGTGATTTATGCATTTGATCGAACAAGTATAGCTTCGATATATGTGTAAATCAATCATTAATCATAAGTTAATAATTTTTTTTTTTTTTAATATAATAATTACTTATTCGTAAAGAATAAGCCACGTTTTGAAATACTATTTACACGCACGAAACAGTTATATTGTCTACTGGTTCTATTATGTGCTGAAACAGTGTATACTAGCCGCATAATAATCAGTGCTACATTGAAAGAAAAGATTGGTTGCTGCAACAAATTAGATGGTAAAATATGGCATAGCATTTTTAATTGGTTGCTGCAGCCAATTAAAAATGCTATGCCATATTTAACCATCTAATTTGCTGCAGCAACCAATCTTTTCTTTTAGTGTAGGGAAAAATTGAAATAAATTTAGTAGAAATATTTATTTAAAAGTTAAATTTATAAAAAACACTGTTTGAAATAAGTATTTTGCATAGTAAAAAAGACAAATTTTATTTATCATTTATATTAACATTTACTTGACCTTTCAATATTTGACATTTCGATACTTTACGATACTTTACGATACTTTTCGATACTTTACTTTGGATAAATGCTTCTATTTATTATCTTCTATTTTCTGTTTACTATTTTCTATTTAGAAGAATATTACTAAGGCCTCGGTAGTCTAAAGGCTTAGGACGCTCGCACGGTATGCAAGAGATCCTGATTCGACTCCCAGCCGAGGTAATATTTTTCGCAATAAGAATTAATTATTTACAGATTTTAATATGTTATTCATCATTATTAAGATCGATTCGAAGATGCGAATAAACATAAAAAAAATTTGTTAAATTGCCAGTCAATTTAACTCGTGATATTACTGCGGTAGTTTAATAGAGTTAGCGTTTCAAGACCGAAAAATCATTTCGGCGCGCGTTTCTGGGGATTACATACGTAGTATTTAAATTCACATAAGAATCATACAAGCATTAAGATCCAGCTAGACCGTTTAAGGCTTTGATTTCTATAGTTTGTGTTATCACATATACGGTCCTATAATATATTATATTATTTTCTATTTCTTAACAGTACGAAATAGAAAATAGAAAAATTATTAAATTAGGAAATATTGAAATGTCAAATAAATATTTTATTTCAAGTGAATGTTAATGTAAATGATAAATACTATTTGCTTTTTTATATTTACTACACAAAATATTTATTTCAAATAATATTTTTATTAATCTTTTAAATTAATATTTCTATTGAATCTGTTTCAATTTTTTCCTTGCACTAAAAATATCTATTTACTATATTCCATTTTAACTAACTGGTTTCCCTAACAGATATCAATTTAAGAACGTCAAGAACGTACACCGACTAGACTGTTATCATTTTGAAATATCTATTTCACAATTTACAAAGTAATAGAATTAATTATTCATAAAGTAAATGTATGAATAAATGTACGAGATGTTTATATTATACATTGAAAGAAAAGATTAATTGCTGTAGCAAATTAAATGGTTAAATAGAGCATAGC